TGTACACGGGGACAGATGGACACAGGGACAGATGGACACAGGGACTCAGATGGACACAAGGACACAGATGGACACAGGGACACGGATGGACACAGGGACAGATGGACACGGGGACATGAATGGACACAGGGGGACAGGTGGACACGGGGACATGGATGGACACAGGGGGACAGGTGGATGGACACGGGGACACAGATGGACACAGGGACAGATGGACACAGGGACACGGATGGACACGGGGACACAGATGGACACGGGGACACAGATGGACACGGGGACACAGATGGACACAAGGACACGGATGGACACAAGGACACGGATGGACACAGGGACACGGACACAGGGACATGGATGGACACGGGGACACGGACACAGGGACAGGTGGACACGGGGACACGGATGGACACACGGGGACACGGATGGACACAGGGACTCGGATGGACACAAGGACACAGATGGACACAGGGACACGGATGGACACGGGGACACAGATGGACACGGGGACACAGATGGACACAAGGACACGGATGGACACAAGGACACGGATGGACACAGGGACACGGATGGACACAGGGACTCGGATGGACACAAGGACACAGATGGACACAGGGACACGGATGGACACAGGGACACGGATGGACACGGGGACACGGATGGACACAAGGACAAACAGACACAGCCGGACCCAGGGCCGGGCCGGCGCTCCCCTCCCGCTCCCTCTGACGCTCTCCTCCTCTCCCCCCGAGCCAGGCTGCAAGATCAAGGCGCTGCGGGCCAAGACCAACACGTACATCAAGACCCCGGTGCGCGGCGAGGAGCCGGTGTTCGTGGTGACCGGGCGCCGCGAGGACGTGGCCACGGCCAAGCGGGAGATCCTGGCGGCGGCCGAGCACTTCTCGCTGATCCGGGCGTCCCGCGGCAAGGGCGCGGCGGCGGGGCCGTGCTGCGCTCCGGCGCTGCCGGGGCAGACCACGGTGCAGGTGCGGGTGCCGTACCGCGTGGTGGGGCTGGTGGTGGGGCCCAAGGGAGCCACCATCAAGCGCATCCAGCAGCAGACGCACACCTACATCGTGACGCCCAGCCGCGACAAGGAGCCGGTCTTCGAGGTGACGGGCATGCCCGAGAACGTGGACCGGGCGCGGGAGGAGATCGAGATGCACATCGCCATGCGCACCGGCGCCTTCCTGGAGCTCGGCGGCGACGCCGACTTCCGCGACAACGGCACCGACGTCGGCTTCGAGGGCTCGGCGCCCGGCCCCGCCTGGCTCGGCGCCCGCCCCGCCGCCCCCGCCCGCGCCAGGATGGTCTCCAGCTACCGCAACGACAGCTCCAGCTCGCTGGGCAGCGGCTCCACCGACTCCTACTTCGGCGGCAGCCGCCTGGCCGACTTCAGCCCCACCAGCCCCTTCGGCGCGGGCGGCTTCTGGTTCGGGGAGGCGCTGCCCGCCGCCGAGGAGCTGGCGCTGGACTCGCCCGCCTTCGAGCCCCTGCCCGCGCCCTCCCCGACCATCTGGGCCCCGCTGGAGCCCGCGGCCGCCCCGCCCGGGCTGGGCGGCGAGCCCGGGGCCGGCGGCAGGGCCCCGCGGCGCGGCAGCCAGCCCCCCACGCCCCGGCTGTCGCCCACCTTCCCCGAGGGCCCCGAGCAGCCGCTGGCCCGGCGGGCCCAGGGCGAGCAGCCCGGGCTGCCCATCTACATCCCCGCCTTCTCCAACGGTACCAACAGCTACTCCTCGTCCAACGGCGGCTCCACGTCCAGCTCGCCGCCCGAGTGCCGCCGCAGGCACGAGTGCGTCGTGTGCTTCGAGAGCGAGGCCACGGCCGCCCTCGTGCCCTGCGGCCACAACCTCTTCTGCCTGCAGTGCGCCGGCAGGATCTGCGACAGGGCCGCGCCCGCCTGCCCCGTGTGCCACAGCGCCGTCACTCAGGCCATCCAGATCCACTGCTGAGCGCTCACCGCCGCTCCGCGCCGGGCTTGCCTGGCGCCGGGCCGGGAGCCTGCCGCGGGAGCACCCGGGACCTGCCCCGGTTCTGCCGCGGGAACACCCCGGGAACACACGGGACTGCTGCGGGAGCACTGGGAGCCTGCCCCAGGTACACCCCGGGAACACCCCGGTTCTGTCCCGGTTCTGCTGCGGGAACACCCCGGTTCTGCTGCGGGAGCACCCCGGTTCTGCCCTGGGAACACCCCGGTTCTGCCCTGGGAACACCCCGGTTCTGGCTCGGGAACACCCCGGTTCTGTCCCGGGAACACCCCGGTTCTGGCTCGGGAACACCCCGGTTCTGTCCTGGGAACACCCCGGTTCTGTCCCGTTAACACCCCGGTTCTGTCCCGGGAGCACCCCGGTTCTGTCCCGGTTCTGAACCCCCCTGTTCGGCCGCAGCCCCGCCCCTGCCGATGCTGCCTTCTGTGCACTGCCAGCGCTGCTCCGGGGGTGCCCTCGGGGGCTCTCGGCGCTGTCCCTCCCCGGCCAGCGGTCAGCGGTGTCCGGAGCCCGCGGGGCCGGGCCGGCCGCTCCCGATCCCCCGGATCCCCCGATCCCCGCGGGACGCTGACATTCCCATCCCGCCTTCCCAAACCACCCGACAGAGCCCGCGGGTCAAAAGGTGACGCGTGTCCCTCCGCCCGACCCCCGCCTCGCACATCACCCCCGCTAAATGTTCATTTCTCACTGCGGAAAAGGGTAAAAACACATCGGGGAGTTGTGGCCGCTGCTGTTCAGCGGCCCTGCAATCAGTTTGCTTCATTTCAAAAAGTCCTTCCAATCATGGGTGAGAAAAGAGAGAAAAGAGAAAAGGAAAGGAAAGGAAAGAAAAAAGAAAAGAAAAGAAAAAAGAAAAGACAAAAGAAAACAATAGAGAAAACAAAAGAAAACAAAAAACAAAAGAGAAAAGAAAAAGAGAAAAAGAAAATAATTTCTTGAGTTCTCTTCTTGCATTTCAACCTGTGGATGTTTCCAGGTTTCATCCTCAGTACCTTCCCAAATCCGTGCTGGCGTATGTTAAAACGACAAAAAAAAAACAAAAAAAAAACAAAAAAAAAAAACAGAACAATATAAAAAAAACCAAAAATGAAAAAAAAAAAAATTACAAAAAAAAAACCACACACACAAAGTGGAGTTCTGGTGGATGTTTTCTATTTTTTGTTTTTTCGGAAGCATTATTTTCCCAAGGCAAAGCTTTTTTTTCTCAGTATAACAGAAAAAAAAAAAAGATAAAAAAATAAAGAAAAGGCGAGATGAAATTACACGTCTGTCGAACTAGCAGATGGGCAGAAAACTTTATTTTTTATTTCCACTTGAAGAGTTACATTTCGTATTACAAGTTTACAGATAACGGTTTTTATTTTGTGATTCCGAGCCCACAGACCACGGAGCGGGGCCGGTTTAGAATTTGCTAATTTTGCTACACTTTTTTTGTTATGTATATGTAGGGAGGTGGTAGGGGTTACAGATCCCGTTTGAGTAAAGTTTAAAAGTATAAATCCTTATATTTTATGATAAAGGGCCTTTAACTTGTGACGGCCAAAGCACTGATATTATATATTTGCTGTAAAGAGAATTATAAGAGTTTTATTTTTCTGATATTAAAAGTTACTTAATAAAGACTTGTTTCCATTAACTTGAAGGTTGTGCCTGGCTGTGGCTTGGAGGGGAGGAGGAGGGGGCAGAGAGACCCCAAAATCCTTCTGGGAGATCGCTGTCAGGGCTTTGGGGTTTGGGGTCTCTGGTCAGGGATTTGGGGTCTTTGATCAGGATTTGGGTTGGGGTCTCTGATCCGGGTTTGGGTTGGGGTCTCCAGTGAAGGATTTGGGATGGGGTCTCCAGTGAGGGATTTGGGGTCTCCAGTGAAGGATTTGGGTTGGGGTCCCCAGTGTTGGGATTTGGGTTGGGGTCTCTGGTCAGGGATTTGGGGTCTCTGATCAGGATTTGGGTTGGGGTCTCTGATCCGGGTTTGGGGTCCCCAGTGAAGGATTTGGGTTGAGGTCTCTGATCAGGGGTTGGGGTCTCTGATGAAGGATTTGGGTTGGGGTCTCCATTGAGGGATTTGGGTTGGGGTCTCTGATCCGGGTTTGGGGTCCCCAGTGAAGGATTTGGGTTGAGGTCTCTGATCAGGGGTTGGGGTCTCTGATGAAGGATTTGGGTTGGGGTCTCCATTGAGGGATTTGGGTTGGGGTCTCCAGTCGGGTCTGTGCTGGGATTTGGGGCTCCCGGGGTCGCTGTTCCCGCTCGGGGCCGCGGCTGCCGAGAGTCCCAGCCCCGCTGGAATGCCTGCCCCTGCCCGGGGAGAGCTCGCCCAGAGGGTCCCGAAGGGTCCTGTGCTTGCCCAAAGGGTCCCGCACTGGCCCAAAGGGTCCCGCACTGGCCCAAAGGGTCCCGCACTGGCCCAAAGGGCCATCCAGATGACCTCTGGCCATCCTCGGGGCCGGGGCTGCCCCCGCTCCCCGCAGCCCCCAGGGCCGTTCCCGCTGGCCGGTCCGAGGGTCCGGCACGGCCGGGCTCGGTGGCGAGCTGGGGCCCGCGGTGGCGCGGTGCGGGCCGGGGCTCGCCGAGCCCCTCGGGCCGATGTCCCCTCCCGCCCCCGGTCCCCTCCTGCCCCCGGGGCTGTCCCCACCCCGCTCCTGGTCCCGGGCAGCCCCCGGTCCCCTCCCGCCCCCGGTCCCCTCCCGGCCCGGGCGGTGCCGCCAGCCGGGCTCGGGGTCCCGTCCGGTCCCTCCCCGCCAGGAGCAGAGCGGGCACCACCCAAAACTCGGGTTTGGTTTTGGCGACCCAAAGCTGGGTTCGGATGAGCTCGCGTTTCCTGACGCTGCTGGGTGAAGATCGATGTGCAAACATCCCGAAGAGCGGGGGGGAACAGCCGGAGCTGGGGCTCAGGAGCTGCCCCGGGCACCGCGGGGCCGGGCCGGGCTGGGCCGGGCTGGGCTGGGCTGGGCTGGGCTGAGCTCTGAGCTCTGAGATCTGGGCTGGGCTGGGCTGGGCTGGGCTGAGCTCTGAGCTCTGAGATCTGGGCTGGGCTGGGCTGGGCTGGGCTGAGCTCTGAGCTCTGAGATCTGGGCTGGGCTGGGCTGGGCTGGGCTGAGCTCTGAGCTCTGAGATCTGGGCTGGGCTGGGCTGGGCTGGGCTGAGCTCTGAGCT